TAAGGGGAGGCTTACACCCTTCCAGCTACCATGCTATTTGCGTCTATGAACACGGGTTATAACTTTTACTGTTATAGTAGTGGTAGGTACATGAACTATAATTGTGTGTTAGAGATTAGAGTCCACTATGTGCTGAGGTATAAAATAGCTAGAGCCAGAGGTGCCAATCTATATTTCATGTTATGGGGAAAAATGATGGTGTTAGACCCACCTACTTAAAAAAAAACATTTAGCTACTCTCGAATGGTGCATTATAATCACGATATACTACCTTTTAATAATAACGTTTGAGTAATAATTAAGTACTATTATTTATGTGTGGTGTATAAAATATAAATATTTATTAGAATATCGCTTATTTTATTCTGGCTTGTAGTTCATGATAGTAAAAATGAAAGTTTGATTTTTGTATTTCATAATTATTTAGTTGTTTTTATATAACGTTAATTTTGTTTTATATTATATATTATAATAAACACAGGTATTTTTTTGAAAAATAGATTTTGAAAATTATGTAGATATACACAGAGCCTGATTTATAATTGCTGAGACCCGGGACGAAAGCAAAAAAAAGGGCCTATTTTATAAATTGTAAGTTAAATTATAATTAGTAAATTCAACAATATTCGATTGTAGGGCTAAATAATTTTTAAATTATTCTTCCTTTTTTTATTTTTATTTTCTTTTAGCTGAGCCACTGAAGTATTTTTAGGTAACATTTTTTAAATGAAAAATATAACAATGTACTAACAAATAAAATAAATTACTGGGTAACTTTTTTTATGTTATTCTAATTTAAGGATTAATTAAAATTAAACGAATTAAATTCAGGAAGTGGGCCCTTGATTCGCATGGGCCCTGGACAAATAAGGTACCCATAATGTAGTTGCATAAATAACAAGGCCCTGGATATACGTTTACTTCGTGTTGATGTATAGGAATCAATATTAAAATCAGATGGTTTATGTTAGAAATTTGACTGAAAAGTGAAATATGTATTTGAATATTTTATGATGTACGTAGACGAATTTTATTTTTATGAACATATAAAGATAATTTATCCTTATGGGAAATATATATCATATACTAACTCTGTCTCTTTCCGCATTCCTTTCCACTCAATGAGAAATTCTCTTTTTCCATTCAGACCCATCTCACCTCTTACGGACATATCATCAACCACTCACCAAAATGTTACGTTGCATTTAATCTAACCAAGTCTTGGGCCTCAGAATGTATCTGTTATTGGTTATAAAATTATGCATGAACTCAAAGCCTAACAAAGCGTTTAATTATTATCAAATTAAATTTTTAAAAATGTACATTGTTTGAAAATGCTAGGTTTAAAAATCAGAATTGGTATCAGATATCAGATATTTGTCCACTGGTGGTATGAGTGTGAAACCGTAGTGATAGGTAATAATTGTATTAATTGTACATAGTATAATGGAAAAATAGTGTGTGATAACTCTGAACGTGCAGATTAATGAACGTATACACAATCTATTATCTTGTGTTTATTATCTATATTTAGTGTATATTTAGATTTTTAAAATTGATTTCAATGGGTATAATGTAAAAAGGAGATTTGTATAAATCTATATAAAGGATACATTATGTTGTATATTGCATTATTTATTCGATTATTCTAAATGCATGTGATGACTCATTTAACAGTAAGTAAAGACAGAAAGACTCTATTCCACATGTGTATAAATTAAGATAAAGCAGGCGTCACTGGTTTCCTCCGAAATCGATCTTCCCGTTTACCACCAGTATAATATAGTAAATATTAAAATATATTTCCATATTCCACCACAAAAATTCAGTTTTTAGATTTTGGCAACCTTGTAAGAATTGATATATTATATTATTATTATAGACTAAGAAGAAAATAATATTTCCACAACATATACCATTCTCCATTATTAGGAAAGATACAAAAAATTACGTAAATATGACTTGATAAAGTGATTTAATTAGTAGCAAATAAGTGTTGTAATGATTATAATATTAATTGAAACCGTAGTATTTTATTATCTCATAAACTTCCACTTGCATAACTTATATGATAAAATGTTTTCTGTGTGAATAAAACTAAAATTAGTTATTTGTTTCGAATATTTGTGTAGTATTATTTTGTAATAACTAATAATATATTTAAAATACATAGTATTTATTAAAATTGTAAGTATTACTTGAATTGTTATTTTTTAAAATGTTTATTAATAATAACCAATTAAGTATTTTTAATTATTTATTTTAGCTTAATATTTTTAAATTATTGCCAGTTATCAATAACTCCACATTTTTTTTTTTATAGTAAGTGGTTACTAAATTCTAATACTGTATTTTTTGTTTTAGATAGGTAATGGAATTATATATTATTTGATACGGGGGTAACGGACTTGTTTAAGGAAAACAAAAGGTCAATTTTGGAGGAAAAGTGGAACATTCAGAAAAAGTAGGTGAGCGTAGGCAATTTTGACGTAACTATCTATAAAATATATTATACCTAAAATATCTAAAACAAACTACAAAGTCACTTCATGCTGGGCCACAAAGAACTTATTCCAACAACAATCGAATTTTCACTCATAAAACAACATATTGCAATAATTTTTACATACATTTGAATTATAATAACAATCAAAATACTCAAATATTTGCATAATATTACGATACGTCATACTTGATAATACTTTTTGATTTTATGAACTATATCGTCAATGTCCTTATTTTCATACTAGATTTTTAAATAGCATTAGTTGAATTTCCTCTATAAATGCCATTACCTATTAATAAATATATTTAGTTTTCTTATCATTTTTAATGCATTCAAAAATATAAATATTGATTATTTACATATTTATATAACAAATTACATAACTTTTATCCCTTATCCCTTTATATACCTATAGGAACAAGTGTATTTACAATCAAGATAATAATGTAAATGTAAAATTATTACCATTCAATCCGTTTTGAATAAATAATTCTATTATCGAGTATCTAATTAATATATAAATTGACATAAATATAAGATAATATCAGCCAAAATGATATATTTTACTATTTCAATGAGAAAATATTATAACGTGAATATTGTTAAATTATAATTTTGTGTAATAAGTACTTGAAATAAACTATAAAGTATAAAGCATGTAATATGCGTATGTATAGATACCTACCTACCAATCATAAATATTTAATCAATTAAGGCTTAACCGTTAAGGTATACTCAGAAATAATATTTTAAGGAAAATACATCCTTATTATTAATTGAATTAAATTAAAAATATTAATAATAAAACAATACATCGTAATTATTGTAGTAATACAAATATCCAGTTTTAAGGCTTATATTTGCATGAAGGTACACATGGACTATTTATAGAAATAATATGAACATTACCTAAACATTTATCACTGAATAAATCCATATATATACTCAATTGTATCCTATAGGTAGGCTAAATCCATAATAACATAATATTATAAGTTTGTAACGCACCTAGGACTATTTACCATTTCGTGAACTTAGGTCTATCAGTAATGCGATTTCACGTTCAAGTTTAATAGTCAATAGACACACATTTTATGTGTTCCATTAAGTGGAAAAACGTACGGTAGTTTTTGGGGACTTTTTGTGAAATGGATAACTATCTTGAAAAGTTCATAGTCAAGTTATTATTTTCATTTTTGGGATAGGTTATATAAGAACATATTTAAATATCGTTTCAATACAACAAACTTTATGTAGTAGTGAGTAGTATACGCATTTTCATTTGGTATGAAATTTGATAGGTATATTTTCTGAATTTATGATAGGTTTAAACATTCACCACGTAGACAAAAACTAAAAATAATTGGTAATATTATAGTAGCTAGGTACTTTAAAAAATAGAATATTTAAACTATACTTTCTGTCTGTTTATTTTCCAAACGTATCACTTATGCGGTAAATATATAATGAAAATTAACTAACTTTTCACTAAACTTGTATTTCTGGTGGACATATCTAATAGACATGGTATAGACATGACAAGTTGTTTCCTAAAAGGTGAATGTCAAAATAGATGGTGTATAATATACTTGCACCAAATGTTTGGCTATCTATAGTTTAAACATATGTACTTTTTAAAATTTAAATGATAATAATAGCTATCATTATAATTCCCGTGGAATTAACTCATTTTATTTCGAATGAAAACTATTACACAATGTTATTTATTTAAATATTATTCTCCACGGCGCATTATACATATTATGCATTTTATAATATACCAAATACATAATCGGTGTAACATACCAATTTCTATGCCACGAACTTTAATAAAATAAATAAATAAATATTATACTTAAATATATATTTATGTAAGGATTATTACATGAACCTAAAAAGAAAATTACCTTACACCAGTGATACGGTCAAAGGTATTTTATTACAGACAAAGAACTTGATTATAAAATAAATATGTATATTCAATTTATCTACTGGAATCACTTTTAAATTAAGTATAACTCTCGAGAAAAAAATTATTCCATTTGCAGGTTTTTTTTAGTAAGATAAATATAATGTTATACTAAGTTTATACTTTTATAAAAACGTGAAACTTCGAGTTTTTCCTAGATGATTGATTAGTATGTCGGTTTCTACTGTTTCGTGTACCTACCAAGGTATATATTTTACGAATCTAAAAATAAACGTTTGCAAATCAACTATTTAAGAAACTCTGCTGCGGGAAGTAATTTTGTAGGTATAAAAAATGCTATAAAAAGAAATGGACCGATCTCGATCGCTTATGACATAATATGCCTTATGTTGTTCGAACAACGCTAACTCGTCCTGCAAATTTAAATCCCCGGATAATTATACTACTTATGTGACATTTTGTTCAATCGATACACGAGCATCCCATTAGAGACAGGATCTCGTCATCGCTTATATACGACATTATCATAATAAGATATAATCATCCTGACCTAACCACTCGAGGTTATCGAAGCCGAATACCGCAATAGCGAGACTTACCTTCCAGAGCCTTGTTTCGGGCTAGCAGTGCGAGCAGCACATCCGGGTTGTGGGCTGCAGCCTGTAGTTCAGCGGTCGGCCTATGGTGCAAATGATGGCCGTGGTGGCCGTGAGGGTGCAAGTGCGGCAGCAGCGACGATTGTGGTGCTCCTCCGGACGGCGGTTGTTGCAGCACCGTGGACATACCGCCCGCGATGTACGCTGACCCGCCGGTTGTCGTCAACCGCCGGCTGCAGTGGTTGTGGCGGCGGCGGTGGTGTCGTCGGCTGCGGTGGCGGTGCGAATGGATGCACCAGAGGCCGTCATCAAAAGCGACGACGACGGTGTTACTAACTGCGACCCGGTTCCACCAAGTGGCTGGCGTACGTTGACGGTGCAAATGTCTCGAGAGGCGGCGGAAGCGGCGCGGTTATCGCGTGTGGGTGCGTGCGTGTGCGTGACCACGCGTGGCGGCCACAGCGGCGACGTGTGCGTGCGCGTGGGTCGCGACAGCGGTGGTGGAAGTGGTGCGATACTGGAAGATTGTACGTAGTTGTACACAAGGACTGTAACGCGAGCTTTTATCATCGGGCGGCGGCGGCCGAACTTTCGCCGGCTGGTGGTGGTGGCGACGGCAGCGGCGGTGGCGATGAGGGACGGTGGTGGTTTTGTGCGGCGGCGGTGGTGGAGGCTTGGCCTCTGTGTTATGCGATTGCGGCGGCGGAAAGCGTGGAAAACCGAATGGGTACCTCGCCCGGATGTGGTGGCGGGTGAGGGTGCTGCGATACGCGCGCGCGCTCTCGCCCTAACACTCTTCGCCCCGCTTTCCACATCGCGTTTTCCCGCCACTGTGGCCCGAGGGGTTTAATTTCGCTAAGTGTCGGCGCGCATATACATGTACACACGCACCGACCGCCGCCCTTCCACCCTCATTTGTGCTCGGCGTCCGTCCCTCGTGGAATTACCGCCATTGCGCGCGTTCCAGCGGCGGCGCGTGCGCGGTAAAAATCCAGTCGCCACGGTGGTGGTTTTTGCCGGGTTTTCTTTTCGCCCCCATTCTCCTCCCCTATAAATCCACCCCTCACCACCATGTCACTCCACCGTGTAACTTCAGACCGTTTGCACGCCGAGTGCGCATCCTATGTCGCCGGAGGACGCGCTGGCAAAAAAAAAGGAATTGAAAAAAAGAAAACGACGGGGTTCCGTGAGCTTGTGTATACTTACAGGGGGTGAAAACGGTAGGGTGTGTTAGGTGGTGGTGAAGAGGATATGAAAATGTACACGGTCACCGGTACACCGCGCATCCAATAGTATATAGGTGTGCTTGCGAATGTGTGTGTGAGTGCGAATGAGTGTGTGTGTGAGCATACGTAATAATGCTTTTTCCCCAGTTTCTCTCTCCTTCCAGTCACATCCCAAAAGCCAAACTAACGCAGTGCAGTGGTATACGGAACCGAGGGAATCGAGAGGAGAGAGAATAAACGTCGCCGTCGCCGCCACCGTCGTCGTCGTCATCGGTAAAAGAAGCGCAGGACTCGTCGAATAAATAATAATATCGATGTAAATGAAAAAGCTTAGTGCGAGGGGGAAAAAAATACATACCAAAACAAACGACCTCAAACCCTTCAGTTTATGCTGTTATACGATAGAACTCCTAAAGCTGAGCTCGATGTTTGATATTCCTCGTACAAGGGATTGTTCCTTTAAGTTTTTATTTTATTTTATTAATATTATTTATTCTTAAAATAATTATCTCGATGTGACTAAAAGCTGTAGTACAAATCAGAAAATGATTGTACTACCTATGCAGTCGTTCGGTCGTAACCAGTGTTAAATAAAAACGATAGTTAATATGCACGAAATTAGTTAATATTGAGGTTTACACTGAATCGGATTATTTAAAATATATTCAACATTTCAAAACTATATGATATTATATTATTGTAATACAATTATGCTGAATCACTTTTTTAAATAGCGTATTTTTATGAACCTGAACGACGCACTTTTACGTAGACGAAATGAACAAAGTATATGATATTAATAAATCGAACAATGGTTATCAAAGTAGCTTTTGTGCAATGTAACAAAACTACCGCCGATGGCTACATTCAGACGTGCTGCACTAGTATTATGCTGGATTATCGGGATTTCACTTTACTATAATACGATCCATTTATAGAGCTACATACATTTCTTTAACGTATTAAATACTAGAGTAAATTTGTAATATTGTATATGACTAACTTAATATTAAATTATGAGCGGAGCAATGAATGTTTTGGTATTACAATGATGTGTTTTTTTTTTTTATTTTTTTTTTTTTGTGTCTGTGTTTAACACAATCCATTACAGTGACCCACTTGTAACCTACTGTACAGCAGACCAACACCCACTTGCCCACCTTTTTTAAATGTAACTAATGATCTAAAATCTAAAAAAATCGTTTTTAAATAGTAAAACATTTATCTATATCAAGTAGCTTATTTTTCAGAATTTTTAAAAATCAATATTTTTTTTAACTAAATTAATTTAGTACTTAAAATTTTTCAAAATATGATTTTTGGGAATTTCCTAACATTAATATATTTCTTAAATTATTTATTCAAAATATAATTTTCATTTTTTTTTCATACTTTTAAGTAGCATCAATATTTTTTTTTTCAGGTCTTCCTTTTACACCCTGTTTAATATATTATATTGAAATGATTAATAAAAAATAAAACTGTTTCAAGTCACCTAGATTGACGCTATATTCCATATTTATACTGATTTATAACGTAAAAAATTATAAATTCATTGAAAACAAAATTTATTAAAGATATTGATGAAATTGATCCACTTAAATCTTCTGAAAATATCATTAATTTTATTTAACTTTAATATTTTAAGGAATATCAACATTTGATTTTTCAGTTTTAATATAAATATTATACCTATACCTACTTACCCAATATAATATTGTGCGTTAAAACCTAATCTGTGGTAGATAGTAGGTAAATGGTAGGTTGTAGTAAATGTATGAAACATTTTTCGTATATTTTAGATTACGATTGAAGCAAGCAATGTATTGGTTTGTCAATGAACGATGATGTGTGTTTTTAGTTTTCTATTAATATATAGTGGTTATCACTGTATTGGGTAGGTAGTAAAAATCTCACAAGCACATAACATAAATTAAGACGTTAAACAATTTCGAAAATTGTTGGGGTTTTATTTTAAGTTAGAATTACAAATATTGTTTATTTAGGTAGTTAGTTTAGAAATTCAGACTAATGATTTTTTGATTAACATTTTATCTAAGTGTTAAAATAATTTATTTTTGGAGAAAATGATTTTATTTTAGATTAAAGTGTGTATACAACCATTTTTGGTTTTAAGGCTTAAAAATGTATTATTACATTAATAATAACACACAAATTATATTATATTCATTAAAATATAATTTAACTACTTATAAAGAATTATTAATATATAGTATATATTGTATCCCTTCTACATCAAATTACCGAAATTCAATCAAATTTATATAGACACATAATTAAAAATATCTTATGAAACACGGGAATAGGTACTACATTCAATGCGTCAAATGAAATGTTATAATTTTTGTTGTACTTACTAATATCTAATTTTCTAATTTTATTTGTTTCTATTGAATAAAACAATTTCTTACTGAAAGAGATTTTGTATTAATACAATTTAATGAACCTGGTTGTCACTACATAATACCTGATTATAATATAGAAAAATAAAAGTAAGTATTCCGTTTTAATTACAAAAATCCATGAAATAATAATTAAGTGAAATTATGTACAATAAATTAATGCTATATATACATTATACAAGCCCTTGTAAGCATTTGAATGGATATATATGCCATCCAATGAAACATTTAAGGGATGGTTCATGGAAAATATACAATAATAATTTAGAATAATAAACATCTTGAGTAAAATTATTTTATTGGATAGTGGATAGAGTTCGTGAAGGGTGTAGCGATAATGACCCATAAGTTGGGGGGATTTTTAAAAGGGGGTGAAAGTAAAGTAAACTTAATATACCCAGTATTTTCATTTTACTATTTAATATTCTTAGTATTGATTAAATTCTAACAATATTTCTTGGAACTTGATTTTTTTTAAAGTATCTACCTATATAATATTACAATATTTATACACTAATTAGTAATTACTAAACCTAGGTAATAAAGTTGTTTGTATAGTTAATTATAATAAAAATAAATGTAAAATTAAAATTCTAATCAATTAATATAAATTCTGTTTGTCATAATTTGTCGTTACATTGTAAATAATAATGAAAGTAAGACAGGATACGAATCCAGACCACCCGGTATTAGTCACTCGTCTCACTTCGCTGACTTCGGTTCAGCAAGGACAATGGTGTATATAAGTGAACTAATATTATTTTAATGAAATTCGGTATACTATACTAATATAGTTATAGTGTAAATATAGGATGTTCTCAACTAAATTAAAACCAATAATAATATAGTCTTAGAGCTTAAAAATTCGCCGTAATTCAAACTTTATAACCTATGAAAATTAATCCGAAAACGGGTGAAAAGTTTTGAAATTTTTTTCACGTCTATATGATAATGAAAAACAATAACTTTTAAATATAGCAACTCTCGGCGATTATTATTAATCCTAGTCTTATAAAATATACTGTGATGAAAATTAGTGGCGGTTCTAGGGTTTTATTTTTTGAAGGGGGGGGGGGCATAAGCATCACACAATTTTTTTTGGATATTAGATAATAAGTACGTATAATATCCAAATACATTCAAATGCTTCAAAACAGTAAAATAATATTATATAACCCACATGGCAACATTGACCATTGTCCGTTAATCGTATTAACCACTCAACTGTGACAATAATTGTAAAAATATATGTACGTATTAAAAATGATTTATTTTAGAGCATTTATCATATAAACTTTATTTTTATTAAACATAAAAATGTTTTAATTTTAAAATTAATATATAAGATTGTACAAAATAGTACAAAAGTCAAAAGATAAAAAATCTCAAAATATGAATAAGTACCTAAATTCAGTGGCGTTTTCAGAAATTTTCTATGGGGTGGGTTCTGAAAATAGTACAAAAATGGATCCAATATGGTTCAAAATAAAATCTGAAAAAGATCACGATTTATTAGTAGGTAGTACATAACTTTATGT